CAGTATTTTCTAACTTCGTTTAGTTTGAGTATGGAAAATGGGTGTTGGGGATTCAGTGTACTAACTGTCGAGAAGTGAATGTGAAAGAACCACCTTCCTGAGGCCATCTCAGCCTGTATTTTGCATCATGCTGGTATTCCCATTTTTGCTCCCAAGGAGGCAAAGACGCCTTCTCAAGATCTCTCAGGATGGAAATGACATTTCACTTTCTTGGTCCTTTCAGCCCTATAGGAAGTACTTCTTTTTTTTTTTTTTCTGAGACAGAGTCTCACTCTGTCGCCCAGGCTGGAGTGCAGTGGGGCGATCTCCGCTCACTGCAAGCTCCGCCTCCCGGGTTCACGCCATTCTCCTGGCTCAGCCTCCTGAGTAGCTGGGACTACAGGCGCCTGCCACCACGCCTGGCTAATTTTTTGTATTTTTAGCAGAGACGGGGTTTCACCGTGTTAGCCAGGATGGTCTTGATCTTCTGACCTCGTGATCCGCCCACCTCAGCCTCCCAAAGTGCTGCGATTACATGCGTGAGCCACCGCGCCGCCCGGCGTACTTCTTTTTTTTTTTTTTGACAGGGTCTCACTCTTTTGCCCGGGCTGGAATGCAGTGGTGGAATCATGGCTCACTGCTGCCTCACCCTCCCGGGCTCAAACAATCCTCCCACCTCAGCCTCCAGAGTAGCTGGGACTACAGGCATGTGCCACCACGCCGCCAGGCTAATGTTTAATTTTTTGTAGTGACAGGGTCTCGCTGTGTTGGTCAGGCTGTTCTCAAACTCCTGGGCTCAAGTGATCCTCCTGCCTGGGCCTCCCAAAGTGCTGTAATTACAGACATAAGCCACCTTACCCGGCCAGAAGTACTTTCTTGAAGCCTAACTTCCATTCTTCATAACATCCAAGTTTTGTTCTTTTTAAGGCCTTTCTGGGTCTTTCCAGCCTTTTGGTTCTTTGAGATACCTTTTCTGGGCCTACCCTACCAACCTGAGAATAACTGTGGATTTACCCTTCACCAAACCAGACAGGTTTAGAATCATGAGTAGAGAATGAACCATCATGGGCAGGGGTGGGGAACACTTTTATTTTAAGGCATATTCATATCGGCATATAAGGCACATTCATATCAGAATGGCACGATCTTGGCTCACTGCAACCTCCACCTCCCTGGTTCAAGCAATTCTCCTGCCTCAGCCTCCTAAGTAGCTGGGATTACAGGCATGTGCCACCATGCCCAGTTAATTTTGTATTTTTAGTAGAGACGGGGTTTCACCATGGTGGTCAGGTTGGTCTTGAACTCCTGACCTCAGGTGATCCGCCCACCTTGGCCTCCCAAAGTGCTGGGATTACAGGCGTGAGCCACCACGCCCGGCCTTTTAAGGCATATTCTAAATATAGCACCCCAACCTCCAAAATTTAAAAAAAAAAAAATCTCTAAAAAATAAAGTGATTTCATCTCTTAGGCCCCAACCAATCATCTAAGTAAAGCTCTTTCTTTGGTCCCTTTATCCTCAAAGTCATCTCTTGTTCCCACAACCCACTGCACCTGGGAAGCTGGACAGGAGGCCCAGCTGAAACAAGGAGGTCTCTTTGGTTCAGGTTGGCACTAAGGTGCCCAGTGGTCAGGTGAGCAGCCTCAGGTTTGCAGGAACCAATAGTTCCTGTCTTGCTCCTGGGGGTACTTCCAGAAAAGCCAGAAGCGGATAAAGCTGGTGACAATTCCTGGAAAGTTGGACACCTGAAATCACAAGAACTGCTATGAGGAGAGGAGCCAGTTTTCTACCTTGCACCCCTGTCACCCCATCCCTGTTGTGCTTACCATGATGTAGGGATCTCTGAGTCGAAACCCATAGAGGCACCAGGAGGCAGAGGTGAGAACGGTAGCAATGGTGAGTGGGTAGGAGAGACATTGGGTTGATTTAGTCTGAATGACCTTAGCCTGTGGGAAAGAATAAAAGACTCTCTTGGCTCAAGCACATTGTAAAGCTTCACTTGCCTAAGAATTTCCTCGAGAAAAAGGTCAGGCACCCTCCCTGATCTGTCACCCAACCTTTCCTGCCTCCCACTCACCCACCTCTACTGCCTTGTCTCCTTCCAGGGTTTGAATCTCCCCTTCCTCGGGACTGTAAGCCATAGTATGTGGCTATGAGAGCCTGACTCATCTCTCCTACCTCATTGGACATCCCCACTCACCAAGTCAGCCAATGGTGAGAGGTACATGCTGATGGTGAAGACACTGCAGAAGAGGCCCAGCTGCTGAAGCCGGGCCTCAGGGTTGGGTACCAGGAGCCAAAAGTAGCCATAACCCAGGAGAAGGACCCCTAGCAGGGTTGCAGTCTGTAGGAGCACAACACGCTGCAGGGGAGAGAGTAGCCTTACTTCCAGACATGCTCTCCGACTTCCCTGCCGGAGTTAATTCATCCTGCCTTCTCCCATGCTTCAGTGGGGAAGCCAAACTGTCTAGGCCTTCAGCACTGCGCTGTCACAGCTTCTTTCCCACCAACAACTTGATAGGAAAGTCTTATCCACCCACAACAATGGAGACTTCTAGGGGAGGGAAAGATGTGTTTTTTTTCTGTGTGCTTAGCACACACAGTAGGAGCTTAATAAACGCTTGTGTGATTGAGCAGGGAAGCAGAGCTAATCATCTTGTTCTCACCCACGGGTTTTGTCGGAGACAAAACCCCTTTCCCCTTAGCTTGTTGGCAGAAGCCCAGGGCAGGCAGCATAGGCATCGCAGGCTAGGCAGAGCTACCAGCCTTGCCTAAATGGGGGAAATGTGTTAATCTCAGAAGGCTGACTTCATAGAGGAAGGGGACCTGCAAGGCTGAAGGGGCCTTCCTGGAAAGGGTGGCAGTGCCAGCTGTTACAGTCTTCTAGGAAGTAGTGTTTGCCCTGCCAGCGAGGCAGGGCGTGCAGCAGAGAGGTGGGTCCAAGGGAGGGACTCTACCTTCCGAGGGCAGTAATGCAGATATGCCAAGATATACAGGGTCTGAAGCGCAGCACCCACTGTGTTGACGACGATGAGGATCCCGTCTCCCTTCAAGGCCCCATAACTCAGCCAGCCCAGGTTGCTGCAGGGTGGAGGGGAGGGACATGGCTCAAAGGGTTCAGTGTGAGAGGAGGACCCAAAGGGCCTCTTTCACTTTTTTTTTTTTTTTTCCGTCACCCAGGCTGGAGTGCAGTGGCGCGATCTCGGCTCACTGCAAGCTCTGCCTCCCGGTTTCACGCCATTTCTTCTGCCTCAGCCTCCCAAGTAGCTGGGACTACAGGCGCCCGCCACCACGCCCGGCTAATTTTCTGTATTTTTAATAGAGACGGGGTTTCACCGTGTTAGCCAGGATGGTCTCGATCTCCTGACCTCGTGATCCGCCCGTCTCGGCCTCCCAAAGTGCTGGGATTACAGGCGGGAGCCACTGCGTCCGGCCAAGCCTCTTTAACTCTTGCTCCTCCTGCCCCGCCCCCACCTCCCTCTGATAGCCTTTCCCACCGCCGCAGCCGTCGCCCCCTCACTTGACTTCCGTGGTGAGAAAGGGCAGGAACTGGACGTTGTCCACACTCCGGGTCATTCGCATGTGCCTGAGGTCCGAGCTATAATGGGGCCCCGAAGGTAGGGGTGGGGGTGGGAAGGGAGAAGCAGAGTGCTTGAGGCGGATGCCCAATGCCTGTCACCCTTTCCGGACCACTGCAGACCACCCCCCGCCCCCAGCTATCTTGCCTTCTTCCTCAGGCCTAGTGACCAGCCTCGCCCTTGTACCCCGGTCCCCTCAACCCGATCCCATTTTGATCACGGTTCCGGACAAGCCAGGTGCTGCGGCTACGTCTCTGCCCCCTCTCTCCTTTCCTGACTTCCTAGTCCTCCCCAACCCAGCCGGCCGCTCTCTCACAGGCCGGCGGAGAACATGCCAAGGGTGAAGACCACGCATGCTCCGTAGATGAGCGAGTCCAGAAAGCCGCCCGCCTCCATCACGACCAGAGTCGGATCCCGCGCCCAGCGCCCGCCGCGTGCCTGCGGTGGCAGGGACCTACTGCAGCCGGGACCTGCGGCGCTGGAGCCCCGCCCCGCGCGCTCTGGCCGTCCCTCCGGAAACTGCGCCGAAGCCCCACCCTCCCTCCGACGCCGAACCGGAACTCGCGCACCTCCCCTCCGAGTGACTGCCCAGTGCCTAGGTCCAGACCTCCTCCATGTCACGGTCGGTCCCCTTCCTAGGACTCCGCGGGTGTGTCCCCGATATCTGCCACTCCTCACACTCTGCCTGCCTCTTGGATCATCTAGACCCCCCCGGTCTCAACGGTCGTGTTCCCACAGGCCTGTGCGCCTTCGGCGGTGGACCTCCAAACAAAAGCTTGCTAGTTCAACCAGACTTCAGCACGCTTTCCATCCAGAACTTCACATCAGAACCTCAGTTGTCCAAGGGTTTGGGAAGTTTTTTTCTGGAGTTTGCTGCCGAAGCCTTTTCTCCACATAACAGACATTGCCAGGAATCACCAAGCCTTCCTCTTTTGCCCTCCCTCTCGGGCAACAAGGTCAACTTTACGTGACGTGGCCAATCCACTGACGCCTCTATCACTGACCCCCCCCCCGGGTCCAACCCACTTGCTGCTGGGAACTTTCCCTCCCAGCCTCCCACACGTCTCTGCTGGTGTGGCTGTGGGGCGGGGCCGCATGCCTCAGCTGGAGTTCCCAGCTTCCCTGACTCACCCAAACAGCATGAGTACCTGAACGGTAGTATGCCAAAGCCCTGCGGTGAGGGGGTGGGAGTGGGGTAGAGGTTGGACAGGAAGAACTTCGAGTGGAGTGCAGCTCAGGACCCGAGAGACTGCTCTCAGGAGCACTCCGGTCCTGGACAACCCTCAGAGGAGGAAACAACCCACCCTTTTGGCCTGGTGAGGGGCACGCATTCTTTGGAGAGAAAGAAATTCAAACCCAGTTGCTACTGTTGTAGCACACAGAGCCTCACACTTAGCAGGGGCTCAATGGTCATACGTTTTAATGTGGAGTGGCAGAAAAGCATGTCCGAAAAAACACATTGCTTTATTTTGAGACAAAGAACATTGTATAAAAAAACTCCAGTTGTAGAAATCAGGACAGACACACAGCAACTTATATACAGATACTGTACACGTGGGCCCTGCCCTTTAGGCTACACTCTAGGCAGAATGTACACATGGGCACTGCCCTTACAGCTACACTCTAAGAACAGGTTGGCACAGCCCCCCTGCTGGCACAGCTCTGGGGAGTGCTGCCCCAGGATGGGAGAGAATGCAGTACCTGGCTACAAACTTCTCTGTGGCAGCTCCACAGATGAGGTCTTGCTGGGAGATGCTGGGTCAGCCCAAGCATGCTGCCTCTCCTGTACCTGGCTCCCAAGCAAGAAACTGTTTCTTGCTTTTCCTTTAGTCAGTTCATCTGGGCATCCTGGCTGTCTTCTGAAGGGGGCATCTTTGCCAAGCTTTGCCCATCCACGTGGCCCCTTCCAGCTCAGCTCCCACTGTGCCTTAAGGGACCATGTCTGCACAGCTTGTTTCTTTGGCTTAAAGGCAGGAATGGTGGGAAAAGACTGTCTCCACTTATTTCTCCATCCCTCTGAGGTGAAGGTGGGGATGGCACTGCTGGGCTGGTTGGCCTCCTTCCAGTTGAAACCCTTAATACTGACCCGTTTTGAGGCTGCTAGGTGACAGCTTGTGCCTGTGGTGGGAGTGGTTCCCAGGGATGGGGGCTCTGAAAGTGGCCCCAAGACAGGTTTGGAGTGCCTGTCCCTCTCTTCAGCCCAGTTCCAATCGTTAAGGCCAGGTGTGGCATATACCTTCACGGGGTTTGCAGCAGCAGAAGTGGTAGGAGCAGCACAGTCCAGGCAAGTGGGAAGAGGCGTGGGGCGGCACTGTGACCGATGCTATGTAGAACCCGCACCTCTGGGTCATCTGCAAGGTGAGAGGGCAAAGGCCGCCAATGTGAGTGACTCCACTATTTGCACTGGCCTTCAGCCCAACAGGATTCCCTCAGCCTCTGCCTGGTAAAGGAGCCACCTCCTGTACCCAACCTCTTCAAGCAGACCCCTTCCTGTGCCCCAGGCCCAATCTGCTCCAGCTACCCACCTGCTGCAAGTCTCTTCTCCTGTGGATTGTCATGGGCCTGAGGACTGTGAGCTGAAAGACAAGAGTGGTAGTAGATCAGGTACTGTATCAAAGAGGCAGAGAGCTGTGAGTGTGAGGGGCTGGGCTGCAAGACTTCTATACCATCCCAGATCACCAGACCGCCCAGCATAGAGATGGAGGAAGGAGGCCCACAGGGCCCTGACACTCACTGATTTTGCCATTGACAGTCACTTTCAACCTCAAGCAGCGGTCTTCTTGCTGGTGGATGGGTTTGGCTGCAAGATAAGCCCACAGGAGGTTAAGTAAGAAACCTTTGGTGGAAGAAAATGTAAGCCCAAATTCCCCTTGCCCTGTTTTCTCAGCTCCCTACTCAATTTCATTCTCTTCCCTCTAATCTTGATTCCTACCCTCCTTAGTTTTTGCTAACTTCCTGCCCAATGTTCAGCCCAGCCTCCCATTCTTTGGAAATAACCCTCAGCTTTGGCAGTGGTGACAAAAAGAACGTAGACACTGCCCCTCCCCACATTTTATCCTTCACTTCTCCGAGTCTGAATATGTTCCTCTTGCCTATATATACTACTCCTAGGCCGGGTGTGGTGGCTCACACCTGTAATCCCAGCACTTTGGGAGGCTGAGGTGGGCGGATCACGAGGTCAGGAGTTCGAGACCAGCCTGGCCAGCCAATATGGTGAAACCCCGTATCTACTAAAAATACAAAAATTAGCCGGGCGTGGTGGCACATGCCTGTAGTCCCAGCTACTCAGGAGACTGAGGCAGAAGAATCAATTGAACCTGGGAGATGGAGGTTGCAGCAAGTTGAGATTGTGCCACTGCACTCCAGCCTGGGCGACAGAGCGAGACTCCGTCTCAGAAAAAAAAAAAAAAAAAAAAAAAATATATATACACACACACACACACACACACACACACATATATATACTACTACTGCCTAGCCCCCACTGACTGAGTCCTAGATCCATTTTATACAAAGCTGATTTCATAACTTTTTTTTGAGATGGAGTCTTGCTCTGTCACCCAGGCTGGAGTGCAATGGTGTGATCTCGGCTCACTATAACCTCACACCTCCTGAGTTCAAGTGATCCTCCTGCCTCAGCCTATTGAGTAGCTGGGACTACAGAGGTGCGCCACCACACCCGGCTAATTTTCGTGTTTTTTTAGTAGAGTTGGGGTTTCACCATGTTGGCCAGGCTGGTCTTGAACTCCTGACCTCAGGTGATCCGCCTGCCTCGGCCTCCCAAAGTGCTGGATGATCTCATAACTTAAAATCCATCAGGCTGTGCGCGGTGGTTCACGCCTATAATCCCAGTACTTTGGGAGGCCGAGGCAGGTGGATCACTTGAGGTCAGGAGTTCAAGACCAGCGTGACCAACATGGTGAAACCCTGTCTCTAATAAAAATTCAAAATTAGCTGGGTGTGGTGGCAGATGCCTATAATCCCAGCTACTTGGGAGGCTGAGGCAGGAGAATTGCTTGAATCTGGGAGACAGAGGTTGCAGTAAGCAGAGTTCAAGACCAGCGTGACCAACATGGTGAAACCCTGTCTCTAATAAAAATTCAAAATTAGCTGGGTGTGGTGGCAGATGCCTATAATCCCAGCTACTTGGGAGGCTGAGGCAGGAGAATTGCTTGAATCTGGGAGACAGAGGTTGCAGTAAGCAGAGATCACACCACTGCACTCCAGCATGGGCAACAAGAGTGAAACTCCATCTCAAAATAATAAAATAAAGTAAAATGAAATAAAACCCATCATTGGTGAGAGCCCTCAGGATAAAGTCCAAACTCCTTATCACTTTTTAGTTCCCCCATGGTCTGTTCTGTCCACCTCTCCAGGCTCACATCTCCTCACTGACTGTATCCTTCCCACTCCAGCCAGGCTGAGCCATAGGAAGTTCCCTGAAGATGTCATGCTCCCTTTGTACGTATGCCTTCATGCCTGGCCAGCTCCTCTGCCGGTCCTAAGCTCTGGGATCATCTTCCCCACTGAGCCTTCTCTGAGCCCCATAGCCTGGCAGGTACCCAGGTCATTTTCCCAAGGCCCCTGTGTTCATGTCTACCGTAGCATACTGTTCTAAGGGTCTGTTAACCTATGTGTGTTTCTTCTCAGCTTCCGTGAGGACAGGGACTCTGTAGTGTTTTATTTATCTCTGTGCTGGTAGTGCCAAGCAGAGTGCCCAGCACGTAGAAGCTCACTCACATTGGGATGTGGATGAATGAAAATAGAATTCAAGATTGGAAGGGGCCCTCTACTGCTGGACTCTGCACCAAGCATGTACCCAAGCATGTACGTGGTGGCAAAAAAAAAAAAAAAAACCAGACACTGTCCCCTCACAGGCACTCACAGATATAGTAGTAGCTGTGTCCTTCTTTGAACTCCTTGCCCAGGGTGAAAGGTGTGAAGCGCTGGAACTTCTCAGACAGCTTCTCTGGGCCATGCTTGGCACTGGGCTGGTTGCACTGCCAGCGGACCTGGTCCTTGGACTGGGGCTGGCACAGCTGGTACTCCTCACGCTCCACCAGGTACAGTATGTACCGCTCCATGGCAGCGTCTGCCACAGAGTGATCCTCATAGTGCGGACAGATGATGTCCACGTAGTCATTCAGCTGCACATGTATGGTGTAGTCCTCATTCCGGAACCTGGGGACACACACGGGGGAAGAAGCAGGGGGTCATTCAGAAGCCGGGCCAGATCCTTGGACCTCCAAATGTTTACATGACCTCTCACATTTCACACTAGACCCCAAGAGATTTTTCCAAAGCCTCAACTCCCAATATGTACTGATCTTGATGTCTTACATTTCTCTCTGCCATCTCTAAACATTCCCCCGCACCATCACTGTCTCCTGTTGGTCCTTCAAATAGCATCCACTCAGTATCTTTCAGGTACCAAAGCATTTTCCATAACCCGCGTGATGTTTACTCAAGGATGGGCTTCTACCTATTTCTGTAGCTCACTCATCATTCTCTTCTACCCATAAATATTTCCCCAAATCTGTTATACCAGTTGCTCCTTTTAAATGCTGTTAGGCCTCAACCTGAGACCCCACCAGTCTATCTTGTAATCAGAATCCAGGAAACCCTTTCTCTTTACCATGCTAGCCCCGAGCCCCCAACACATCTGTGTCTTCACCTTCCTTACTCCTCTCACATTTCCCCGGACCCACTGAGTAGATCTCACATTTCCTAGCTTCACTTTTCCTCAAAAGTGAAGCTAATATACCCGGGCCCACAGATAATGCCCCTAGTCCTTTAAGTTAAATCACTCTTATCAATTCCTTCAGCCCCCCTCAAATCTCCTTTTCTAGCTACTCAAAGTTATACACTGGTCTCCTTTTCCCCTTCTTAGAGCACCCCCAAACATCCCTGTCCTTTTTTCTCCAAAAGCCACATTTCCACCTCCCGCCAGATGAAATGCTGGAGCTCTGGGCTTGAGACAGCCTCTCCCCTCTCCTCTCCTCTCCCCTCCTCCCAAGGTGGAGCCAGCTCCCCTCCCCTAGTTCATTCCCCCTGGCCCCACCGGCTCCAGCCTGACTGCCCACCAGCCCCTCCCCACCAGCCCCAGACACCTGGCTCCAGCCTGGGTGGGGTCCCAGTAGGGGGAAAAGTGCTCCCCACAACCCCCGAAGCTGCTCAGTTTCTCTAATTCCCCCAGGCACTGCCAGCTAGAGACTCAGCAGAATTAGCGTCAACTTGCTTCGAACCGAAAGCACTGGCCACGGCTGGGAGGGCGAGGAAGGAGTCAGGTGGAGAGGACTCTGAGATGGGCACCCACTGCCCAATCAGCATGACCCCAGAGAGGCCAGGCTTTGCAGCAGCACGCCAGCGCCCAAACTGGGCTTACCAGGCCCCTCCCCCACCCTGGGGAAAAGAGAGAGAGGAGCAGAGAGAGGCTTTTAAAATTCCTCTCTGGAGAGATAAACATAGAAGCCATTTCGGAACAGGTATTTCAGCTCTGGGCCTGGCGTCTTTCCCTCATTCCCGTGACGGGCACTGACTCATTCCTCATCCACCTCTGCTACCCGCCCCAGCACTCATGAGAACCTGTGAAAATTTACCTTGTCAAATGTGGACAGCCCCTAGGACCCCAGGAGGGCACAGCGCCCACTCACCCCCAACACTGTCCTCCAAACAAAGGCAGCCAGCAGGTCGGAATGAGGGGCCTGCCCTCCAGCACGAGGGAGGCTGGCGCCCTTCTCAGCATGCTGCCCCTGCCTGAGGCCTGGAGATCCCAGGGCTGCTGCCCACTGGCCTGAGTCACCCATGCCAGCCTCACCTACCCCGTTCATTGTAGCCTCATATTTGCCCCCACGCTGGGCCCAGCTTGGCTGCCTACGGACTCTACTCTGGACTGGCATCTCTTTAGTCCTGGGTATGATAGGGTGTGTGTGTGTGTGGCCAGAGGGTCACCCATCAGCCCCCTCTCCTGGGGGTACAGTCTGCTCGACTTAGCCTTCATTTGACTCTTGTTCCCCATCTGGGAAAGGGGGCAGTGGCGTCAGGGAAGGCGGGGAGGTGGGTAAGGAAGAGGCTCCTTCCTGAAAGAGAGGAAACTTGGGAGCTTGGGAACGGAAAAGGCCAGGGTCCCCCCCTCCCTACTCATGGCTTCCTGTCCCCTCCTCCTTCTTCAGTCAACACCTGGAATGGGCATAAACAGGGACTTTGCTCTCTCCCATACTAGGGCAAGATGCATCGGGTCAAGGAGGCAAAGCACAGGGAACGGGTGGCAGAGGGCTGGCTGGGCCTCCCCAGCATCCATGTGCAGGAGGGCATTGCCCTCTGGGGTTGGCAGCTGGCTGTTCTCTCCCCGACCCCAACAAGCCACAGACAACAGACTGCCTCACCAGACGATGCCACAGGGTCAGAGGAAGCTGGCACAACATATTTCTCAAGGGGAGTGGGGGGCAAGCTCGCTAGGGCTGAGAGTGGCTAAGCCGGTGAGATGGCTTTGGTGATACCAAGCTGCCCAGTTCTCTCCCCGTCCTCCCTACCACCCTCTCCTATATTCCCGCAAATATTGTTCCCATAACTTCGGAAAACTCAAGGGCAAGAACAAAGGGGCCGACAGAGTCTTCCTCCCAGTACCATTTGCCTCACAGCCCTAAACCTGCCCAGGAGAAATTAACTCCTTCCTGCCCAGAGCCTTCTGTAATCCCTTTAACCCCTTCTGTTCCTTCTGAAGCTTTCCCATGATCTCCCTCTCCCAGCTCTTCAATTTTACTACTTGAGAGCCCCATAAACAGGTGATTCCCTCAACCTACCCATGCACAGCATGTGCCTCACTCATGCCACCCCAAAAGACCCCTAGTGGGGGACTTTCCAGGTTTGCTTTAAATACAGGGTGAATGCATAATGAATGCCTACAGCCCAGCTCTCTCCTGAGAGGTCCTTTCAGGGTTCCCTTGAGCATTCTGCGCACTCTTGATGTCACACCAGGTACCTGTCAGTGTGGTCAGATGCCCAAAGGACACACAAGGAGGGGCGTGGAGGCTTTCAACGTGGGGGGGACCTAGAACAAGGGCCCTGGCTGCCAGGGGCAAAGTCTATGCTGGAGGCAGGAACTGCCCAGCATAGGTCCCTCACTTCAGAGTAATAGGGGTACCAGAGAGAAGGAAGGGAAGGGCAGATATAAGCCCATGCAAGTAGACACGAGCAGGTTCCTGCCCCGGGGTGGGGTGCTCCCAGATATGAGGGAGAAGTGAGGGGAGGAAAATCTACAGTAGCCCTCCTACCTCGGTCATCTACTCTAGGCTCAGCTCAGGGGTTGGCCGGGACAGTTATCCCGATAGGGAGGGCAGTGCCAGCCGGGAGTCCAGGCTGCCAGTGGAAGACTCGAGGCTTACTTGGGATTTGAACTGTTCCAGAAGACGGTGTGTCGATCAGCAGCGGCCAGACTGCAGCAGAGACCCAAGAGAGGGGCCCAGAGGAACTCCATAGCGCGGGGCCTGGCCAGGCCGGGCGGGGACGCCGGGCTCCTAGGTGTCTGGGTTCCCGCTGGCTTTCTCCGCGGCGAAGTCAGCGTTGGGCTCACAGATCTGGCCCCTTCGCCTTGCGACTCCGCCTTTTGGGCCGGCGCCGCCCGACACCCCGCCCCGCCCTCGCCCCGCCCGGCGCGCGGCTGCCCCGGGGCTTGGGGGCTGGGGAGGTGGAGGAGGGGCGGGCAGGGGAGGCGAGGAGGCTAGGGGTGCAGGAAAGAGCGAAGCGCGCTCCTCTGCCCCGGCAGATCTGCTCAGAGCTGTGTGTTCGCTCACTTGTGGGTCTGCGTGGAGCTTTGTAAGCCTGTCCGGGTGGTGGGCTTGCGTCCCTGGGCGCAGTCGCGTGCGGGAGAAGGGAAGAACTCGCAAGTGCGAGTCTGCGAACGCGGGGGTACGGGACCCGGCTTTGCTGCTCCGCGCGCGGACCTTGCAGGGTGCGAGGTTGTTGACATGCCCCGCACCTTTCTGAGCCTCGCATGCCCAGGCTCGGGCGCCCGCGTTCCCACCCTCTCCTCCTCCCCCATCCCCTTCCCGGACTCTGCGCTCGACTGCCCCTCCCCACACACATGCGGCTGTTTGTTTTTGTTGGGTTTGTCAATGTTGTCTTTGTTCTGGAGATTGTGTCATCGCCTAGATGCCGGGAATAAAGTGCAACGCTGTGTGTGATCGAGTGTGTAACGTGTGCGGCCGGGGCTAAGGGCGCCTCTGTCCATCCCATCAGTGCCTGCGCGCAGGAGCGACACGCGGGACCCTGGGCTCGAGAGGGGTCCGTTCTTATTTTAGATACGTTAAAGGGCACTGATGACCTGAGTATGTGTGACAACACACGCGTACACCGTGCAAACGGGCTCTTGAATATGGACTGTGAGAATCTGGGCATGAAGGGTGACTTAAACTGTAACCACACATGAAATACGTGTGATGGCGCGCTAGTGTGAAAGCATTTGTGAGTAGTATCACAGCCGCGTGTGTGAAAGGGTGTGAAACTCTTTGACAGACGTATGCTAATGTTTGTGAACAGCGTGTGAAGAGGAGGGGAGACGCGTACCGGCGTGCAGCGGGGGTGGGGTGGAGCGGAGGGGTGTTTGTGCGCAGTCCTCAGGCTGCACAGCTGGGGCTGGCCCAGTCTGAGCTGGGGCTCCCAGTCAGTCGGGCCCCAGTACCCGGCTTGGCCCCCTCCCCCGCGCTGTGTAAACAAACCCGCTGGAATTTGCCTCTCGGGGCTCTTCTCCCCGCCAGGATCTGCTGCCGTCTGGAGAGGGCTTGGCGGGCGGGTGTCAGCTCCTGGGGTGGAGAGGGCGGGCAGGTGTTTGATTAGGCGTGCACGAGTGAGCCTGGAGTGGGAGAGCCGAATGTTGTGTGTCTGCGTGCGTTTGGTGGTTTACGTGAGTGGTTGTGTGGCTGTGTGAGAGCCGGATTGGTGCTGTGTGTGTGCGCATCCCTAGCCGGCCCTTCCCCGCGGCTGCGCATCGCGGGAAGCCACCGACCCGGGGCCCCTGGCCAGCTCCAGCCCAGCTTACCCGGTTCCCAGGCCGTTTCATCCTCCTATTTTACGGCCAGGCCTGCTACAGCCCCTGTAATTACGCGGGGCCCGGACGCCGCAGCAAGTCTGGCTCTGACCCCGCCGGGGAGGAGCCTGGAGCTGGGGAGGGCCCAGCCGGCTCTCCACTGCACCACCACGTGCGCTCAGGCCGCTGGAGGCCCTATTCGCTGCGCTTACAATAAATACAGAGCACCAACGGCCTGTAACCCCGCGGCCGGGTCAGGGCCCGGTTTTGCGCACGGCCAGCGCCACCCACCTCTCCCTCGCGCACCTGCCCCAGGCGACGTGCCCAGCCAAGCGTTTGTCCAAGGTGCGGCCCGCTCCTCCTGCCCAGGACGAAGTCCACCAGACGACTGGTCCCAGGGCGGCACCTCACGCGCCTTTTGCTCACCTAGGAGGACACGTGGCCCTGGCGAGAGTACTGCATCCCAGTTCGGGCATTCCACAGAGTCAAAGCTCCAGGAGGACATGGGTTTTTGTTTTGTTCATTATCTTATTGCTAGCTCCTGGCACAGCATCTAGCACATACAGTAGATGATCAGTAAATATCTGTGGACTTGGTGAAATCACTCACTGTTCAGTGAAGGAACTTAACTTCTGCTGGACGTAACTGCTCCGAAAAGGAGCCAGCAGAGGGGTTGGAGAGGGGAGGGATGCTGGCAGCTCTTTACAGCGGGTGGCCCCGGTTGCCTCCTGGAGGAGACAGCTTTGGGCCGGATTCCCTGGTTTCTCTGACCGCTGGGACTGGGCGGGGACGTGTGAGGTCCCACGCTGCAGCTGCTTGGGCCAGGCAGGTTCGGGCTCGCTAGGCCCAGTCTGGCGGGGCCACGTCAGCTCTTGCCTGTGTCTAGGTCTGGAGCAAGCTGGGTGCAGAAGCGTGCAGGGAAATTCTGGGCACCGACAGGACCTGGAGCCCTCTTTCCCTGCTTTGGCGCTGTCCCCAGTATTCTCATCTCACTCTGGGCATTGATCCCATCACTCCTCTATCCACTCCCCTATCCATATGGGGGTCCATCCTCCCCCCTACTGGAGCAGCCCTAGACACTGAGTGTTGTGATGAACTGGGTGTTGTGATGGGCACCGAGAGTGTAAGGATGGGTTTAAGATAAAATTACTACCTCGGGGAGCCTCCAGGCCAGTAGGGGATATTGACAAGCCACCAGGACAGCAAACTTGCTAAGTGCCCAAGCCCAGACTGCAGTCCTACCACTCACAGTCACACTGCCCTGACCCTTCCCGGAGCCCCTGCGGTGCCTGCTGTGCTGAGGGGAGAGTTGCAGGCACTGTGCCATTCAGAGACAACAGTAGGGACTTCTGTGCCTGGAGACTCGATCTGCTGACCAACTCTGGGGCCCCCTCCCAGTCCCTTCCTCATGCCAGCCCCCACCCTGCCCGGGTGGGTCTGCTCTCCATTCTTTCTTGGTGCTGCCTCTCACCTCAAAGTTGTGTGCCTGTGTTGGCTCCCAGCATATCACCTGCAGGCAAACATCTGCGCTTAGTGACGATAGCTGCCTGAGGTGTCTGTCTGTCTGTCTGCCTGTCTTCGTCTAGGAAATTCCTCCATGAGTCCTTTCTGGAAATTCCTGGGAGGGCTGAGGACTTGGGGGAGGCCCTGGCTGCCTGGAGGCAGCATTTCCACTTGGGAACAGGTGCAGGTACTGGATTGCGCCTCCTTTGCTGGGTGCCCTGCGGTTTGGGGTGGGGAAGGCCAGAGCTGCAGGGCCCTGGGGCAAGTGAAACCTGGTTCAGCCCCAGAGGGTATCTCTGGGCAATGGGGCGAGGCAGCAGGGGGAGGAGCAGAACCTGGGCTGAGAGCAATCTCTGTCCTACTCCCTCAAGGTCATTTTGAAACATAAAGTATACCCTTCCCCACTTTATTAGTAATGTGCACACATTTTTCAGAAGTTGGAAAATAGGCCGGGCACGGCGCTCATGCCTGTAATCCCAGCACTTTGGGAGGCTGAGGCGGGTGGATCACTTGAGGTCAGGAATTCGAGACCAGCCTGGCCAACATGGTGAAACCCCATCTCTCCTAAAAATACAAAAATTAGCTGGGTGTAGTGGTGGGTGCCTGTAATCCCAGCTACTTGGGAGGCTGAGGCAGGAGAATCACTTGAATCTGGGAGGTGGAGGTTGCAGTAAGCCAAGATCGCACCGATGCACTCTAGCGTGGGCAACAGAGTGAGACTCCATCTCAAAAAAAAAAAAAAAAGAGAGAACAGAAGGATAAAGGGAGGGGAGGACCACCTGCTGCTCTTAACGTTGGCCTCCCTGCCCTGCCAGCTTTTTGCTAGGGAAGAGATTTTGCTTGCTTTTAGACAATGTAATAAACATGACTCATTTCAATTGTGTGCTTCTTTTTTCCCTTTACAACAGAAAACATTTTTTATGTTATAAACTCTTTGTAAACAATGTTTTCAAGGGAGAGTAATGCTTCATTAGGTGAGTATTTCAGAGTTTGCCATTGCAATGAAAGCAGGACAGAAATGAACATATCCATGCACACTCAAACATCCCTCAGTTGCTGAGCAGTTGGGTTGATTGGCTCTTAGAATTTAGGACTATTGGCCGGGCGTGGTGGTTCATGCCTCTATTCCCAGCACTTTGGGAGGCTGAGGCAGACAGATCACGAGGTTAGGAGTTCGAGACCAGCTTGACCAACCTGGTGAAACCCCATCTCTACTAAAAATTCAAAAATTAGCCAGGCATGGTGGCGCGCACCTGTAATCCCAGCTACTCAGGAGGCTGAGGCAGGAGAATCACTTGAACCTGAGAGGTGGAGGTTGCAGTGAGCCAAGATCATGCCACTGCACTGCACTCCAGCCTGGGCGACACAGCAAGACTCTGAAAAAAATATATATAGAGAACTTAGGACTATTAGGAGGCTGAGCTGAGAGGACTGTGTGAGACTAGGAGTTAGAAATTAGCCTGGGTGACATTTTGAGAACCCATCTCTACACAAAATAATAATAATAATAATAATAAGTTAGCCGGGGTACATAGTGCATGCTATGCTGGAGGCTGAGGCAGGAGGATCACTTGAGTCCGGGAGTTGAGGTTACAGTGAGCTATGACTGTGCCTCTACACTGCAGCCTGGGTTACAGAGCTAGACAGTCTCTAAAAAAGAACTTAGAAATAACCCTGCAATTGCCGGGCACAGTGGCTCACGCCTGTAATCCCAGCACTTTGGGAGGCCGAGGCGGGAGGATCACCTGAGGTCAGGAGTTCAAGATCAGCCTGGGCAACACGGTGAAACCGCATCTCTACCAAAAATACAAAATTAGCCGGGCATGGTGGCACATGCCTGTAATCCCAGCTACTTAGGAGGCTGAGGCATGAGAATTGCTTGAACCTGGGAAGCGCAGGATGCGGTGAGCCGAGATAGTGCCATTGCACTCCAGCCTTGGCAACAAGAGTAAATCTGTGTCTCACCAAAAAAGAAAAAAAAAAAAAAAAAAAGGAAATAACCCTGCCCTGCAATTGACTTTAACAACAAGCACTTATGGAGCACCTACTGTGGACCAGCTTACATTTGGGCATACGGATGTGTGACAAAACTTTGATATTGCCAAACCAAAGCCAGATCCTTTGATACTAGTCCAGTTATCTTCTTTTTTGTTTGTTTGTTTTGAGCTCTGTCGCCCAGGCTGGAGTGCAGTGGCCGGATCTCAGCTCACTGCAAGCTCCGCCTCCCGGGTTTACGCCATTCTCCTGCCTCAGCCTCCAGAGTAGCTGGGACTACAGGCACCCGCCACCTCGCCCGGCTAGGTTTTTTTTTGTATTTTTTTAGTAGAGATGGGGTTTCACCGTGTTAGCCAGGATGGTCTCGATCTCCTGACCTCGTGATCCACCCGTCTAGGCCTCCCAAAGTGCTGGGATTACAGGCTTGAGCCACTGCGCCAGGCCCAGTTATCTTCTTGAGAATTGAAGTGACTACAACCTAAAAGATCTGTTTCTACTTAATCATCTATAGGCTACAGAGTAATTTCAACATCCTTTAGCATGGCATTTAAGGCCTTTGGCAACATGGCCCCCACACCACCTCTGTCTCATCTCCTGCCTCTCCCCTGAACATATTCTATAAAATTTCCTCCCCACATCCCACTCAGAAGGGGGCCAGACTCTGTGGGAGAAGGTGGAATTCTCCCCAGAAGTCCACTGCAGGAAAGAGGAAGTTAGATAAGATAGGAGAGTGGAAGGGAGATGAGATAGGCAGAAGCTCAGAAGGATGGGACTCAGGTTCCTGCACAGAAAGCAGCAGAAGGTGGTTTAGTTTTATTTATTTATTCATTTTTTTGAGACAGAGTCTCACTCTGTCACCCAGGCTGAGTGCAGTAGCGCAGTCTAGGCTCACTGCAACCTCTGCCTCCTGGGTTCAAGTGATTCTTGTGCCTCAGCTTCCTGAGTAGCTGGGATTACAGATGCCCACCACCATGCCCAGCTAATTTTTGTATTTTTAGTAGAGACAGGGTTTTGCCGTGTTGGCCAGGCTGGTCTCAAACTCCTGACCTCAGGTGGTCCACCTGCCTCAGTCTCCCAAAGTGCTGGCATTATAGGCATGAACCATTGTGCCCGGCCAAAAGGTGTTTTATTTTGGGGCCTTTTCCACCAGAAATTTACTAATCATTTAAGTCAAACACGATACTGGGAGGCACTGGGGACTCTGAAATACAACCTTGTCCTAAAGAATGTATAATTCTGGGGCTGGATGTGGTGGCTCACGCCTGTAATCCTAGCACTTTGGGAGGCTGAGGCCGGTGGATCACAAGGTCAGGAGTTTAAGACCTGCCTGGCCAACATGGTGAAACCCCGTCTCTACTAAAAATACAAAAATTAGCCGGGCATGGTGGCGTGTGCCTGTAGTCCCAGCTACTCAGGAGGCTGAGGCAGAGAATTGCTTGAACCTGGGAGGTGGAGGTTGCAGTGAGCCAAGATCACACCACTGCATTCCAGCCTGGGTGACAGAGGGAGACTCCATCTCAAAGAAAAATAAAAAAAAAAAAAAAAGATGAAGAAGGTATAATTCTGGCAAATGTATAATTAGAATACATGACAAGAAGTATAACAGAGGTAGATGTAGCATAACAAGCTATGGACTCAC